TTCCTTCCACTACAGACTGATACACTCTGAAGTCATTCTGTCTCACTCCATCTCTCTACATGTCCGACCACTCTACAACCGAGTATACTTCTTTTTATGTTATTAATAAATAAGAATTACATGAACCCCAATGGAAATAAGTCACTTTGACTGTTTTTTTTTTGTTATCCTGGTGGGTCATCACACATATGCTGCGAATGTATGATATTTATGTAACTGTAATAATGTGCACACAGACCTGAATAAACTTATTTCTTACTAACAGCTACAATAACAACACTTATGGCAGTCAACACAATAACAACTATGGAAGAGAAGTTTGCCCCCCAGACCATCAAGAATACTGTGTGTACCTTCACTCTTCATGCTGGCCTCTAGAGTACATAGGACATATAATAAGCACTGCCCATGGCCTAGAAGGCAACACTCACACGATCATACACTGAGTGTCTGTGTGTTTCATTCCTGCATTGGAAAATATTGGATGTGTTTCTCTACACCTGTTTTGTCCTGTTCCTGTATGCAAGCACGTAGGTACCTGGGTGTTAGTGGACTGGTGTGGTCGCATCCTGGGGGACAAGATTGAGACCACAATAAAATAAGACAGACAGTCCTTGATGAAGCACCAGCATTCCTTGGGTATCCTGAGTGGCTAAACCTCTGAGGTTAAAAATTTCGAACAAAATTTTATCTTGTCTTAACTTCCTTTCACTTTGGTCAAGGCTCTTTTATGGACACATGGAAGCAGAACTCAATACAGCATCAGCAGTCAGTGGCAGTATAAACAACACCAACAGACTTCTGCAACCAGCCTTCGTCGGATGTGGTTGTCTCACTCTCGCCTGAAGTAAGCCGTGATAAGTTTTCCCACTTTTCTGGGACCTTGTCCTCATCTAAGTAGCCCACCGGGTAACATTACGGAGGAGCACCTGTCATCAGCCTTCTTTAACCAGCTCCATTTTTTCACTCTGAGGACAATTCCTTAATGGTGGCTAGTCGGTTACTGTACTTAAGTGGGAGGACGCGTGCAAAAACAACATGGGGGTAGTTGAAAGATAGCTCTGGGCCTTTTGTTTTTGCAATCAACACATCACAGGATCTTGCAATGTTTGCCAAAAAGAGGATGAAATCCAAGCAAACACTTCAAGTGCGTGTGTTTAGCTACCCAAACCAGGTCACTAACACCCAGGTACCTCTACCTACTTACTGCTAGTGAATGAGACAAACAGGTATAAAGAAATGCACCCAATGTTTCCACTCCTTGCGGGGATTGACCACAGACTCTCAGTTTAGTGTGGAGGTGAAAGTATTGCCACCAGGCGATGGCCACCATTGTTTTTAGTTTTATCTAATCTACATTAATATTAGCAAAAATTCTGATACTTATTCCAGGAGCAATGTTGGTAGTGCCGCAGGTACGGCGCGCTGCTGGCACACATGGACTACAAGCACCACCACCCTCGCTGCATCACCACCAGACCAGACCTACTGATGTAACCCAATCATTAATTCTCCCATATACAGTAGTACCCTATGACCGTGGAGACACGTTCCAAGACCTACCGAGGACACGCCGAAAATGCGGATAGTATGGAACCCTATAGGGTACACTACTGTCTGCACAATAAGTCGAGATTATCACTTTATTTCACTTGAGGGAAGCACTTCACAGCTTCTCTTAGACTTTGAAGACTGTCACCATCACAGCTTTTGTGCAATATATAGCAAAAATTAAGGTTTTTTTTCAGGCATGGTAAACTATGGAAAAACTGAAACGTGGAAACAAGAACCCACGGATACAGGGACTGCTGCTGTATAACACACAGTTGTCGATGCTGGATTATGATTTCTTAATTACATGTATTATTATTTTTAATATTTCTTCAATTATTAGTATTTTAATATTTCTTAATTATAATTATTTTTAAAATTTCTTAACTATTATTATCTTAATATTTTTATTTTTAATATTTCATATATTTTTTTAAAATCAAATGGAAAGTGCAATAAAAACTAATATACAGTAGGGTCCCACTTTTACGGCATCGCTTTATGGCCATTCTCTACTATGGCTAAGTCAAATTATACCAAAATTTGCTATATGGTTAAGCGGTCTTTCCAAATACGGTGTGCCCCACCCGTTTGTTACATTCTCCGTGACCACATCTTTATGTCAGGAAACTTTTCCAAAATTTTCAAGTGGTGTTAAAGTTACTAACTGCGGATTTTATATGTACAGTGACCCTCCCGCCTTACGAGCGCATTCACGTTACATTAAATCTGTCATACGAAGCATTTAACACAAAAATTTTGCCTTGCCTCACAATAAAAAACTCGCCTTACATGATTCGTCCGGGACGCGTCCCATGTGTGGCCTCAGCTGCCCCCGTGGGTGCCAGTTGTTTACAAGCCAGTCAGTAGAGATGGAGAAGACATGTAATCAGTCCATACACCCTTGTAGTTTTGGCAAACATATGGCCATCTTCGTACAGAAGAGAAAACACCTTGGACAACTTTTTCAAGTGAGAATTGTTTGATCTGAGAGGGACATGACCTCTCAGTGGCTACTTTCTCACTACTACTACTCTGCACCTTTCCTTCCGACAGTATTTAAGTCTCAACACTGTCTCTTGATCTTCAGTTAGTTCCAGACTTTAGAACAGAACTTCTCCAGGCTGAGGGACTGACAACCTCAAATCTACAACTTCAAGGGTGATGGACTGATTACATCGTCTTCACATCTCTACTGCTCCCTGCCTACTTTCTGTACTCGACTGAAGAAGCCTACTGTGTAGGCAAAAACGTTTCGGAATAAGTTGCCTAAATGTTGCCTATGTGTCTTATCTACCAACCTGTCAGTATTGTATACCATTTGATAATCACTACTCACCTCTCTTCCTACATTAAGACTACACATAATTTAAGGTAAATGATGAGTGTTCTGTATGGTGTATTTTAACTCTGGCCTGTTTAATATAGCATATTAAGTATGGAGATGGGGGAGCCAGGGCTACCTACACCTGACTTCCTATAAATAAGTACTACTCACCTCTCGCCATAGATAAGAATTACAAACTTTAAAGATAAGTAGTAGTGTACAGTGTATGTATTCTTTTACTTTTTGTGTTTTTTTTAATGCCTAGTTTCTATTACTAACTTTAATAGAATTTAGGTAAACTTGTTGCTGGCATTTAATGTGCATTATAAATGGAAAAATATGATGTTTTTCTTTCCGGCGAATCTGCTTTCCGGCGAGGTCTGCTTCTGTTCCGGGCGATGTCCCTCTGCTTTCAGGCGGATGTCTGCTTTCTGCGATGTCTGCTTCCCGCGATTCTGGCTTTCTGGCGATGTCTGCTTTCCCCGGCAATAGCCTGACCTAACCTGCCGTAATAATGTGGCCCTACTGTTTAAAGGATTAGTCTCAAAAATGTTTATGGAATTTTAGTGTAAATAAAAAATAAAATAAATTTTATTTTTCAGTATCTTTTGTCAAATCATTATTTTTTTTTAACAAGTCAGAGCCGTCCCCACCGAGGCCAGGGTGACCCAAAAAGAAAAAAATCCCCAAAAAGAAAAAATACTTCGTCAATCATACACATTCACGCCTCACTCACACATAATCACTGTATTGCATATAAGAGGTGCTCCGAACACAACATTTAGAAGCAGTCATTGTACTTCCCCATTCCAGGACCTCAAAGTCAGTTATATAAAAATAACCGTTTTCCCTGATCCCTTCAACTAAATATTACTTGCTCACACTCCAACAGAATCGTCAGGTCCCCATATATCATTCGTCTCCATTCACTACAATCGAACACGTTCAGGCACACCTGCTGGAAGTCCAGAGCCCCTCCGCCACAAAACTCCTAGGTATGGAAATGAAGATAGCTTCCAGACCTTTGAAAGTAAACAAAAGAGAAAAAGGAAAAGGGCTAGAGCGTCGACGTATCAACTCACTTGACTCTAACACAATGTATACTAAACCCTTGGTGCACAGAGGCTGCAAGAAGTCTTTCTTCAAAGGAAGAATGTGTTTTAAGCTGAACTTCCCTGACAACACCCCGCTGCTGGCTAAGTGTGCATGGCTAATGGAAGCTGTAAACAAGCATCCTAACTCAGGATCAATGTATGAAAAACCAACACACAACTTGTTTTGTGGAACAGAATAAAGAAGATGATTAATATCTATCATAGAACACCTTATGGGATATTAACTGCTCCGACCTCCATCAGACACCACCACTTTAAAAAAATGGGTCGTATCACAATCTTTGATACCTCTCTGCATGGACCCATCCCATCTGACTCTAAGTGAGCATATCATCAAGGCCTAAAAGCTTAAAGGAATATCCCAAATTATGGCCAGTTGGGTAGGTCCTGTGCCCCCTCCCCCGGAATATCTGGGTGTGCAATGGTTTTTAACGTTTCCTAAAACATCGAAGTGTACCTACCCCCTAAACGTAGGTTGATACAAATGCCAGCACGATGGCCAGGTGCAGTAGACTGTGAATACTACATTCTTGGTGTGTAATGGCTGAAACATTCCACTAGAAGATGCACAGTAGGCCCTGACACCGAAAATTTAAGTATTACTGTAAAGAAGTTTGGGTTACAGTTTACCACAAGGACTGCAGTCAGAACCCAACAACCTTCGATGTAAACCTGATAACAGTCCCTTAAATGGTAAATAGGATTGGCCATCCAGTCTAACCACAGCCAGATCTGAGAGAACCTCTGCAAAGTGTGCAAGAACCCCAACCTCACTGCAAAGGATTCTGTGATACCAAAATGCCATCACACACACCAGCTGTGGAGGAGCTAGCCATCCTGCTAGCACATATGGAACTACTGTCTGCCACTACAGATACCTATTCTACACCTAATATGGGGATGAGTTTGTCATTTCTCCCATACACACAACTAAAACAGTCAGACGGACACCACACAGTAACCTCCCTGAAATTTGGAGATGATCAGATGCACAGGACATACCTGAAATGAATGATGAAACAGAGAACACTAATGTAACATGGTAAGTCCTGTTAAGGGATAGTTGTTAAAGAAAAGCACTAACCCAGAAGTGCCATCCACCGAGAGCATTGGATTCGCCTGACCTTCCTCATATTATAACAACTTTCCAGAAAAAAATTGAGCATCTTGAACAGATCCTGACAAGTTTTTAAATAAATATATTAATCAGGATGATGAGCTTGAGCATGTGATGTGTCAAATGCAGCAATCTCCGTTCACTTCCAGCAATTGTGAGAAAAAAAGCCCATAACTCTTGCCTTCAAAAATTGCCTTATCACACTGCTCCAAAATGCCGAAAATCTTAAAAATACAGGTCCTGAAGATTAACGACGTACAAACTATGCTATTTGCCACTTAATATCTGCACACTGTAGTCAAAGCATAATATTGTTTATCCATCTTATGAGCAAGAGACTGTAAAACTCACCCAATGGATACATTACAAATCTTTTCATGGAACATTGCTTCCATCAGGAAGCGGTTTGCCTGACTTACAATCATATTAGTGCAACCAAGAATATTGATGTCATCTGTTTGCAGGAATGTCGATTAAAGATGACACCTCCACCAACTTCCTAGGATATGCAGCGTATAACCTAAAAAAAAGGGGTTTTCCCCCCAACCAACTGATGTGTGATGTATGTTCAGAAAGAGCTTGCCACATTCACTTCCTTTCCTTGCAAGTCGAGTTAAACATGCAGTATCATGGTGTCAAAGTATAGCAGGCGATTTTTCCATAAACATTTTTAATGCTCTACCCCACGAAACCAGTCTTCGACCTATGCTTTACCAGATCGGCATCAATAGTGAACCCACCACATCTTGAGATTTTAATGCCAAGACATAAGAATATGTGGGTCTATAACAAACACCAATGGAATCTAAAACAAGTGAGTGGATTGCTAATGAATGACATGATAAGTTCGAATTTGGTGGGCACTACTGAGCCTACGCACATATATGGTGGCATACTAGATCTGTGTCTTGATTTAATACATCAATACATCATGACTCTGTCAAGTTGATGACTTCTATCGAATCAATTCCCAAGACTAACAATTGTCAATCTTGACCCATCTCCAGCAATCAGAGCTAAATACAGAAGAGGAAACTTATTCCTCAAACAGAACACAGAGACAACTTTATTAACCACTTGATGAATGGTATAAGAAATTACGAGCCCCCATTGGCACACAAAAGTTAATGATATTTAATTACCACGATTGAGAGTGTTCACTCACAGATCAAGTGGGCAGGAATAGGAAAAACAAAAAACCCCCACTATAAATAACAATAAAAACCCAATGTAAATACTATAATGATCCACAGACAGGCGCAATCTATCACATGCCAGCTAGAGGAATTGGTAAAGCAAACCGTGAATGTAGAAAACCCCAGACCTGCTCAGAACGTTCCAAGCTGCACTAACAAATGCAATGGAATAGAAAGGAAGAAACTTAGGCAACAGGAATGGGAACATTTGTTAGTGGATTAAATAGGTCCACCCCTTTGTTTGGCTTGGAAAGTATAAATAAAATAACCAGGAAAAACTGGCATTGTTGCTCATATCCCTTTCCTCTTGAAAAAGCAATGACCTCATAATGACGGTCCACAACATCCAGGCAATGAAAGCCTCCATCTCAATTAGAAAAAAATTTATTTATTTCTATATTTATTTATTTCTTTAAAAATTTGAGCACACATACAGAGGTACAAACAAATACAGGTAAGAGCAGTATGGCCAAAGCCACTTATACTAGCAAGATTACGGGCTGGCTTAAAATTAACTCAAGATTAACTAAGTCAATGATGAATCGAGTGATAAAACATTAATGAAAACAGTTTACTAAAAAAGCACAAGTGGAGTATTACAAAGTACAGGTCATATGGTTGTATGCCTGTTGTACATCAGTAGAATGGAGTAATCTGTTATGTAGTGTAATTTAATAAATAATAAAAGTTAGATGGGTTTTTTAGGTTTTAAACATTTATTGATTTAATTGTGAAAACATTTAAATATACAATTTATAAGGTTCAGTGTATTCAGTATTTATTTTGTTTGGGTGAGTAAGGGATCTTTGAGAAGAGACTTGAATTTATAAACGTATTGTTTTCTTTATATTTACGTAATGAATTCCAGATTTTTAGGCCTTTTATTGCATTGAGTTTCTACATAGTGTGAGATGGACACGAGGAACATCACAGAGTGAACCTGTGCCTTGCGTTATGGTCATTGGGTTCTCGTTGAGGAGGCAAGGCAAGTTTGAGGGGAAGGGTTAATATCAGAGGTAAGTGTTCTATGTATGTAATAGTGCAGTAGTAAGTATGATGTTTTGTATGGTGAGGAGGTTTAGTGTAGTGAATATTGGTGGAGTGTGCTGCCTATAGTGAAATTGTTTCAATCTAATGCAGCCTTTGTTGGTAATTAGTGGTCTGAGATGGTACTTGTTTGTGAGCCCCATGCACAAATTCATAGGTGAATATGGGTAAATAAGAGAGTGATCTAGGCCAGGATGGCTGACTGTGGAGCATAGTACCGTATCTTCGTAGTATGGCCTCCAGTCTTGAAATTTTCTTAAGAAATTTGTGTATATTGTATGAAAATTGAGGTCCTATTCATCAAGGTGGATTCCTATGAATTTTCTTCCCTCTGTTAGCTTTGTGATAGGTGATCTTTTATCATTATGTTAAGAGGGAACATCTTAGCTCTGTTACCAAACAGAATGAGGAGGTTTTGTCAATGTTTAGTGTAAGTTTGTTAGGTTCTCTCATCAGGTAGATATTTTCTTATTTCGGTATTACAGTATTGGCTAGAGCGGTGACTGGGCTCGGGTGGGAAAGAGTATGTAGATTCATCTGCAAAAAGTGTGGGTATTTGAGTAATTGCGAAAGCATTTGGTAGGTTCATTTATGTATAGGAGAAAGAGAGAGGCCAAGGACACTTCCCTGTGGGACACCAACGTAATTGGTTGTGCAGAGGAGTTTGCCCCATTTGCATACACATATTGGCTTCTGTTCTGAGGTATGAATTGAGTAGTTGAGGGAGTGCCCTCTTTAAACCATAGTGGGTACCAATTTTTACGTGAGCAAGTCATGTCAACCGTATCAAAAGCTTTACGTAAGTCAATGAAGATCCCCAGTGTACTTCTTTTTTCTCTATTGCAGTGTATATATTTCTAGCATGTGTATAATAGCATCATTAGTATTTTTTATTAGCCTGACTCCACATTGGCAGGGGTTGAGTTATGTTTTGGAGATAGTAGAGTAATTCGTTTTATAATAATTTTTCGAATATTTTGAGGAGAGGGTGTAAGTGGATATGGCTATATTATTCAACTCTGTTTGGGTCTCCTCCTTTGTGGATCGGTGACCCTTGGCGATTTTGAGTAATCTGTAGGGAAGGTGGAGATTCAATGGATTAGTTAAAGAGTGTTTCAATGTTTGGAGAAAGCACTTTGACACTTTTTTGTATATAAAGGGTGGTAAGGTATTTGTATCTCCTGCCTTGTTTTTTTATGTGTTGATAATAAGGGAACTTCGTATGGGGTTAGTCAGCTAGGAACAGTGTGGTTCGGTAGTATGCCGTGATGTAGTCATTTGGTGGGGTATCTACTTGGGATTTTAATTGGCAGGTTTTGTCCTATAGTGGAGAAAACTCATTGAGGTCTGTTTGCTGTTTCTGTTGGTGAGTTTTGGGTTCATCTGATTTTGCTAATTTTATTTCCTATTTCGTGATATCTTTTTTGTTCCTAAATTTCGATAGGGTTTTCCAAGTCTTTTTAGGATCACCACGTAAGTTGGATAATCTGTTCTCTATAATACAATTTTTTTTTGCCTTCTTATCATGCTGTTTAGGAAGACGATAACGTTTTGTTTGTCTCTGGTTATGTGACCCATTCATGTACTGTTTTTCATATTGGTGTTTTGTATTTAATGATTTGAGAAAGCTGGGTGTAGCCAGTGACGTTCCATTCTCTAACGTCATCTGTTTAGTTTTTTAGGCAGTGCCTTGTTTATAGAAGGTATTGGGTCTTTTTTAGAAAATTATTAATACAATCGTCAATATCTGTATAGATTTCTAGCTCAGTGTGCCAGTCAATGTTTGCTACATCTGCTGTTTTGTGAAGTTATTAATGGCTGCCTCATTGTGAAGTCTGAAGGTGACATTAGTAGTGTCTTGGTAATTTACCAAGAGTTTGTTATGAGGAAAAGTCGGTAGTGGTCTGTGGATTAATCTGTAATTATGCCCTGATTTTAAAGGATATGGTTGTTGGTCCAGATGTGGTCAAGTAGGGAAACTCTAGTCTCTGTAACTCTTGTAGTTTTGTTACTGTTGGTAGCAACCATACAGTTACTCATTGGGTTTGTGACTTCAGTACGTGTGGTCCTGGTCTTGCAGGAGATTTATATTGAATCACCTGGAGAGTATAAGTGATTTCTTTGTTCCTGCGTGCATCAGTTACATACGTTCCTAGTTTGACTAAATTGGCTAATTTTGACTGTGAACTCTGAAATGTTTACAATGTGAAGTTTTTGTAGGTAGTTGGATTTGAATTTGGCTATTATATATTCCCATGTTCAACCCTTTGCAATATTAGTGATACATACTAGTTGGTCTGAGTAGTAATATGCTTCCACCCCCCCCTTGTTGGTCGGGCCTACAGTTGTGTATGGCTTGTTAACCAGGAATGGCATAGAGAACATCTGTACGATCCAGCATTTAGCCAGGTATCATTAGGTAATGATGGACATATTGCATGTAAAATTTAGCAATCTATGAGGTCATCGTAATGCTTGCTTAAAGATCTGATAATGTAGTTAAAGATAGTTCAGTTTTTGTTGGCAACTGAGAAGTGCCTTTGATTGTTCTCAGTATAGTAATTACAGTAACTGTTTGTTAATCATAAATTTGTAGTGAAATCTATAGTAAATATATAGTGAATCAAGTTGAAAACTATAGGCCAATATCCAACTTACAATACACCCTCTCTCAAAAATTCTTTGAAAAACTAATTCATAAACGAATCTACTCCACCTTATCTCACCCATACATACACAACCCCGCCAATTTGGAATTTCGGCCTAATAAAAATACTAATGATGCTATTATACACATCTAGAACATATATACACTGCAATAGAGAAAAAAGAAGTCCCACTGGGGATCTTCAATTGACTTACGTAAAGCTTTTGATACATGTTTGACCATAATGCTCCACGAAAATTGTCACACTAGGTATAAGGAGCACTCCCTCTATTATCCTCAAGTCATACCTGCAGCAACAGAAGCAATATTGTACCAAATGGGCATACTCATCCCAGCGCAAACCAATTACAGTTGTGTACCACAGGAAGTGTCCTTGGCCCTTCCTTCTCTTCTCCTATACAAAATGACCTCCAAATGCTTCGCATTTAACTCAAACCCACACTATTTGCAGATGACACTACATAAGCCTTCTCTCTCTCTCACACCGAGCCCAGTCACACTATCCATACTGTAAATACCGAATTACAGAAAAAATCCTAGCGTCTGGAAGAGGACTAACAAACTACACTAAACATTGACAAAACCTAACTTCATTCAGTTGGTACAAGCTACAGATGTTCCTCTTAACATAAAGAATAAACGATCAACTTATCACAAAGCTAACAGAGGAAAATCTCTTAGGAATCCACCGTGATAATAACTCAAATTCATACACCTATACAACAAATTCTAAGAAAATTTCCAAGACTGTAGCATACTATCGAAGAGTACGTACTAAGTTCCACATCAGCCCTCCTATGCCCAAAGCACTCTCTTATTTACCCCTATCTCACCTATGGGAAATTTGTGCTTGGGGCTCCCACACAGTTAACCATCTCAACCACTAATTACCCAACAAAAGGCCTGCAGTTAGAAATGATAACAAATTCTCACTTACAAGCCACACACTTCCACCAATTTTAAATACACTAAACCTACTCACCATACAAAAACAACCCATAACTATTACTGCACCTATTACATACATAAACCTTAACCTCTGATATTAACCCTCCCCTCATACATCTCTTGCCACCTCAATCAGAACACATGACCTAACACAAGCACAGATCACTCTTTTGATGTTCCTCGTGTTCATTCACACTAGCAAATACTCAATCACATAAGGCCCTAAAATCTGAAATTCATTAACCTAAATATAAACAGAACACTACCTGTTTTATAAATTCAATCGCAACTCAAAGATCACTTACTCACCCCCAAAACCAAATAAATACTGAATAACTGAACCTTATAAATTGTATATCTTAAATTGTTTCCACAATTATATCACATAAATGTTTAAACCTAAAACCAAATTCTAACTTTATTATTTTTCTAAATTACACTACCTTAACAGAATCCATCCTATGACCTGTCTTTGTAATACTCAACTGTGCTTTATAGTAATCTGTTTACAACTAATGTTATTTATCACTGACTTCATCATTGCTTAATTAATCTTAAGTTAATTTAAGCCAGCCCGTAATGCTATGCATAGTATAAGTGCTTTGGCATACTGCTCTTACCGTATTTTTTTTTTGTACCCTTCCTGTAAGTGTGTCTCAAATTTATAATAAATAAATAAATAAATAAATAAATAGTTAAATTAAGTATAAAACAAAGTTAATATCTTTAACTAAAAAATAGCACCTGAATTATTTACAATGTAAAATATGAGCAAGGTAGTTTTTTCTTTTTTTTTTTTTTAAGCTAAATAAGGATACAATAAAAAGGGACTATACAAATCAAAATAAAGTGATGATCAATACTGGAGCTTGGGAATATATAGTAAGGTAGTACTATAAAGGTACATTCTTTAAAGTTAGAATTATAGTATAAAATATATATAAAAGGACTAATATAAGTTGTGGTTCAACAACAATATAGTGGTAATCAAATAATGAGCCTTTTTGAATATAATGCAAAATTGTGAAATAATTCTACTTAGCACCGAGAATAGCACCTTGATTATTTTAACAATTGAATATATAAACTAGGGTAGTTTATATAAAGCAAAAATAAAGGAGAAAATATATAAGGGACGAAATTAAGTAATGTAAACAAAGTTAAATGGACAGTGGTCACTATGAAATAATATTGGTTTAGGAGTAAGACTGATTTGTTAATATTAATACATTGGAGCAGTTAATTTGCACAATAAAGTAAAAAACAATGAGGTATTGTACTAGCTAGCAAAAGATAGTTTTGGTACTTCAAAAAAGTAATTGGCATATACACTAATTGCATACACAATGAAAAGTGACTAAAAAAACAAGTAGTGATAAACAAAATTAAATGGACAGGTCTGAATAATGAATATATTAATTTGGAGTAAGATTTACTTGTAGTTTAAAATTATGCAGCAATTAATAGCAGTAAGAAAGAATATAGAGTATTGGAGGTAGTTGGCATTATCTAGTGATGAAAAATAAATAAAATAAGTTGCACAATATAATAGTAACGTACACTATATGCATAAACATACACGTATATATGTTATTAAGGGCACTTAACTAATCTGTTACAGAAATGACAGCTTTTCTAATGAAGGTAGAGAAATTCGTGTTTACATTGAGATGGTATATTGTTGTCCTGTGAATGTTTTCCTTACTAGTAGTTTCCCATCTCACGTGAAACACTGGTGTATTTTGTTTCCTGTTTAAAGAGTTTCGCAGTAGAGACACAGTGCAACATCTTCTTCTGCTTCAGAATCTCCACACTATGGTGCTGTCGCACCTACTCCCTAGGGTGAGGGACTGATTACCTCATCTTCGTAATAGTTTCTACTGTCATCAAGTTATGTCCATGGAATTTGTATTGATAAAGCCACTGGATGGACGAAACGTCTACAATAAAGAGACCCCAGATGTTGCACATGTGTCTTACTCTCTTCTGTCGGTATTATATCCATTCTACACAACCTGTCCAACACTGCAACACATGGAATCTTAATTTCTGAGGACATGTACACAACTATACTACAACTACTACTACAACAACTAACCTCACTCTTTGGAAGGACCCTTATTTCCAGGGGAATCCCCGCCCACTCAGTGGAATTTTGCCCTCGCTACTTCAACCTGACGTTACTATATAAGCGCCAGGATTCTTTCATCTGCATCGAATATCCACGACATGGGCTGGTTCGCACCTATACTCCTAGGTTGAGGGACTGATTACCTCTCTTCTGTACATATTCTAACTGTCTTCAAGTTAATTTCCTGGAATATGTAATGATAAAGCACTGGATGGCAAAACGCCTACAATAAAATACCCAGATGTACACATGTGTCTTACTCCTCATCTTGTCGGTATTATATACCATTCGTACACAAGTTTCTCCAGCCTGAACAGAAGGTTGACGTTTTTTTGTTAAGAGTACTCTGAAGAAATGTGTGAAACTGATTAATTTTATAGCCAAAATATTGATGAGCGTGAATTTGCCTCTTTAACCGATATGAATTAGATAATGCATTAACCAAAGTCGATCAACTGCTCCATGGAGAGGATGGTATAACTATGATATTCTCAAACTCTAAGGCACGGCCTGATAACCCTTTGTCGGCACGGTATAATCTCAGTTACATGAGGGCGTTTCTCCTACTTCCTGGACCAATAGTCTCATCTGTGCTAATCCCTAAGCCCCAACTCCTGATACATTTAGGCCGATCTCCTTAAATAGTTGTCTTTGCAAACATTGAAAGAATGATGCTTAACGACTGTACTAACTACAGAATCACATCAAACTTCCCCCTACCTCATGGGTTCAAGAAAGGTAAAAGTGTGCAGAACCCTGTATTTCCACTTTTTCTCACTGAACACACCTCTACTATTTTAAACCACTTTTCTTGAACTAAAATCTGCATTTGATAATGCGAACAGAACCGATTATACTAGCATGAATTAGCCAAAATGAATATTGTGGTATCTTACTCTGCTGGATAATAGATTGCCTGTCAATAGAGTATCCTCTGTCCTTTACCAAAACTTTCAGAAGTGAAAACTAAAGAAATGTCTTTAGGTACACCGCAGGAGTGTTCTTAGTCCATTCAATTTAATATTCCTGATTATTGCTCACCTAAAAGCTCCTTCTCCTCACCTAAACATATAGCTATAAGCTATGCTGAGATATCATGAACCAACAAACAGCATAAGAAGATGAATACCATTCTTAATGAAGTTCAAGCATTTGTAATCGACCTAAGCCTCATATATCATCCACTAAAACTAAGAATATTACACAAGCAAACGACATCCCCACCCATCATTGTTTCAGGGTGAAATCATTAGCTACGTTAAAACTTACAGCGATATCCTTGTGGTAGATTACCCCTTTTAACAAATCCACTATAACACAACTAACAAGAAGAAATGTAAATCTAGGCTAAATGCTCTCAAAGCGTTTGCTGGCTACAACCCAACTATGGTGCAAATGTGAGAATCGTGAGAATGATGTGACATAGCCTATGTTATACCTTATTGATATAGCTGCTCCCATGTTGATATTAGCTCTAGAGACAATTCTCTCCGACCCTTGGAGTTAATGCAAAATGACGCTCACAGGATATACTTGGCTTCCCCAGACTACAAAAGTTCTTACATGAGGAAGGAGCTGGTATTTCTATATCAGTGATAGATTTTGAAATTAACACTGTACTCGGTATTAGAATGTTAGAAACGAACCAGACACTGTCCAGATGAATCTTACCAAGTGGTCTAGAGGTATACACACAGATCTAAAATGGATTGTGAAAATGTGCAATTGCATTAAGTTTTATAACCTGCATGAACTGTATCACTGTAGCAACAAGAGCATTCACCCCTCCATTGAAGAATGTGTTTCATTAATATCACAATACCTGCAATTTCCCATCCCAAGATGCTCATTGCTAGTAATCCCTTCTTAAATCTCTTGTTAGAGCAACTGCTCAAGATGAAATTTCTCCACCTAGCTGGTATAACAAGTATATCACAATGTTAAATACACTGTGGATCTAAACAGGAGTCCCTTCTGGCAGGCTGCATCTGCTCTTGTTGCACCCTCCCTAGTTAAGAACGATAATAAATTTGTTGATTAGGCATAAAGAATTAACAACTGGGCATCACAACTGCAAACTGAATTGTTTGCAATCCTAAGGGCGCTAAAGCTAACCTTGACACTGACTTGACTCTATCATCATTACTGTTTCTATGTCATCACGGAAGCTCTGACACATATATACTCCAACAACATGCTCATTGGGGTAGCCAGGTCAAATACCAAAAATTAGGGACAAAGGAATTAATGTACAATTGCTATGGATCCCATCACACATTGGATTACTCCTTCATGATAAAGTTGATAAGTTAGCCTAAAGAGGTATCGAGAAGGAGAATGTATGAATATAACTTTGGTATACTGTGTCCTAGCATTAGTAATAATATTAGGAGAGAAGTAAATAATAGAAAATGATTGTTATAGAATGCAGTTAGAAGCCTGAGTAGATCAATAACCCACTATGATAACATGAACGTAGACAAGTGTGTTTATGGAGCAACTTGCAATGTGAACAGACTGACTGATGTTGTAAGTGGGCCAGCTTAGGCTAGGTTACAATACTTCAGGCAGTTTGGGAAACACACAGATGATGATCAAACTAAATGAAAATAGGTATCAGCATATGGTCACTCACTTGAACACTATGTGCTTATTGTCCACTTATTGAGGAATATCAGAGACTGACAGTATAAAACCTATGTGACATGCAAATATCTTATTAATGAAAAAAAGATCCAGATTATACTAAGCGATTTCCTAAATTTTGCTTGTAACAGTAAGTGGAACTAGAGATATGTAATATAAATCCATATGTATCCTGTTAACCCTTTGGGGCCTAGTTCCTAGGCCTTTTGTGTATCCATATGCGCTCCGCCTACCGACCCACCGGATGATAATGGGTGGCACAATAAACTACCCACTTCGTGGCAAAATCTAAAAAATAAAATCTAAATCACATCACTGTCTTGCCATAAGGGTGCTATTACACCACTACAGTTTTTTAAACTGCAACATTAACACCCCTCCTTCAGAGTGCAGCACTGTACTCACTCCCATCTCCAGGACTCAAGTCCGGCCTGCCGGTTTCTTCCCTGAACCCCTTCATAAATGTTACTTTGCTCACACTCCAACAAGCACGTCAAGTAATTAAAAACCATTTTCGTCTCCATTCACTCCTATCAAACACGCTCACGCACGCCTGCTGGAAGTCCAAGCCCCCCGCACAACAAAACCACCTTTTACCCCCTCCCCTCCAACCTTTCCTAGCCGAACCCCTACCCACCGCCTTCCTTCCACTACAGACTGATACACTCTGAAGTCATTCTGTCTCACTCCATCTCTCTACATGTCCGACCACTCTACAACCGAGTATACTTCTTTTTATGTTATTAATAAATAAGAATTACATGAACCCCAATGGAAATAAGTCACTTTGACTGTTTTTTTTTTGTTATCCTGGTGGGTCATCACACATATGCTGCGAATGTATGATATTTATGTAACTGTAATAATGTGCACACAGACCTGAATAAACTTATTTCTTACTAACAGCTACAATAACAACACTTATGGCAGTCAACACAATAACAACTATGGAAGAGAAGTTTGCCCCCCAGACCATCAAGAATACTGTGTGTACCTTCACTCTTCATGCTGGCCTCTAGAGTACATAGGACATATAATAAGCACTGCCCATGGCCTAGAAGGCAACACTCACACGATCATACACTGAGTGTCTGTGTGTTTCATTCCTGCATTGGAAAATATTGGATGTGTTTCTCTACACCTGTTTTGTCCTGTTCCTGTATGCAAGCACGTAGGTACCTGGGTGTTAGTGGACTGGTGTGGTCGCATCCTGGGGGACAAGATTGAGACCACAATAAAATAAGACAGACAGTCCTTGATGAAGCACCAGCATTCCTTGGGTATCCTGAGTGGCTAAACCTCTGAGGTTAAAAATTTCGAACAAAATTTTATCTTGTCTTAACTTCCTTTCACTTTGGTCAAGGCTCTTTTATGGACACATGGAAGCAGAACTCAATACAGCATCAGCAGTCAGTGGCAGTATAAACAACACCAACAGACTTCTGCAACCAGCCTTCGTCGGATGTGGTTGTCTCACTCTCGCCTGAAGTAAGCCGTGATAAGTTTTCCCACTTTTCTGGGACCTTGTCCTCATCTAAGTAGCCCACCGGGTAACATTACGGAGGAGCACCTGTCATCAGCCTTCTTTAACCAGCTCCATTTTTTCACTCTGAGGACAATTCCTTAATGGTGGCTAGTCGGTTACTGTACTTAAGTGGGAGGACGCGTGCAAAAACAACATGGGGGTAGTTGAAAGATAGCTCTGGGCCTTTTGTTTTTGCAATCAACACATCACAGGATCTTGCAATGTTTGCCAAAAAGAGGATGAAATCCAAGCAAACACTTCAAGTGCGTGTGTTTAGCTACCCAAACCAGGTCACTAACACCCAGGTACCTCTACCTACTTACTGCTAGTGAATGAGACAAACAGGTATAAAGAAATGCACCCAATGTTTCCACTCCTTGCGGGGATTGACCACAGACTCTCAGTTTAGTGTGGAGGTGAAAGTATTGCCACCAGGCGATGGCCACCATTGTTTTTAGTTTTATCTAATCTACATTAATATTAGCAAAAATTCTGATACTTATTCCAGGAGCAATGTTGGTAGTGCCGCAGGTACGGCGCGCTGCTGGCACACATGGACTACAAGCACCACCACCCTCGCTGCATCACCACCAGACCAGACCTACTGATGTAACCCAATCATTAATTCTCCCATATACAGTAGTACCCTATGACCGTGGAGACACGTTCCAAGACCTACCGAGGACACGCCGAAAATGCGGATAGTATGGAACCCTATAGGGTACACTACTGTCTGCACAATAAGTCGAGATTATCACTTTATTTCACTTGAGGGAAGCACTTCACAGCTTCTCTTAGACTTTGAAGACTGTCACCATCACAGCTTTTGTGCAATATATAGCAAAAATTAAGGTTTTTTTTCAGGCATGGTAAACTATGGAAAAACTGAAACGTGGAAACAAGAACCCACGGATACAGGGACTGCTGCTGTATAACACACAGTTGTCGATGCTGGATTATGATTTCTTAATTACATGTATTATTATTTTTAATATTTCTTCAATTATTAGTATTTTAATATTTCTTAATTATAATTATTTTTAAAATTTCTTAACTATTATTATCTTAATATTTTTATTTTTAATATTTCATATATTTTTTTAAAATCAAATGGAAAGTGCAATAAAAACTAATATACAGTAGGGTCCCACTTTTACGGCATCGCTTTATGGCCATTCTCTACTATGGCTAAGTCAAATTATACCAAAATTTGCTATATGGTTAAGCGGTCTTTAAAAATACGGTGTGCCCCACCCAGTTTTTTTACATTTCGGTGCAAAACTTTTAGCAGGAAACTTTCCAAAATTTCAAGTGTGTAAAGTTATGCGGTTTTTTTTTACAGTGGACCCCCCCCTTACGAGCGATCAGTTACATTAAATTTCATACGAAAATTTTTCACAAAAAATTTTGCCTTGCCCCACAATAAAAAATCGCCTTACATGATTTGTCCGGGGGCGCGTCCAGTGGGCCCCAGTGCCCCGTTGGGGGGCCAGTGTTTAAAACCAGTCATAAGATGTGAAGGGCGAGTAATCAGTCCATCACCCCTTTAAGTTTGCAACAAATGGCACTTCGTACGAAAAGAAAACACCTTGGACAAAATTTTTTAAGTGGAATTGTTTGATCTAGAGGGGACGCCTCCAGTGGCCTTTTCATACTACTTTCTGCACCCCCCTTCCGACAGTATTTAAGTCTCAAAAACTGTCTCTTTATCTTCAGTTAGTTCCAGCTTTAGAACAGAACTTTCCCGGTAGGGACTGACAACCCCAAATTACAACTTTAAGGGTGAGGCTGATTTCATCGTCTTTACTTCTACTGCTCGCCACTTTTTGTACTCGACGAAGAAGCCTACTGTGTAGGGAAAACGTTTCGGAATAAAGTTTTCCTAAATGTTGCCCCATTGTCTTATCTACCAACCTTTCAGTATTGTTTAAATTTTATAAACAATACCCCCTCTCTTCTACATTAAGACTAAAAATATTTTAAGGGAAATGGATGTACTTATGTGTATTTTAAAAATCGGGCTGTTTTTAAAATTGCATATTAAGTAGAATGGGGCCGGGCTACCTCACCTGTTCCTATAAATAAGTACTACTCACCCCTTTGCCAAAAATTAAGATTACAATCTTTTTTAAAAAAAGTAGTGAGTGTATGTGTTTTATTTTACTTTTTGTGTTTTTTTTTTAATGCTGTTCTATTACTAACTTAATATAATTTTTGTTTTAAACTTTTTTGTCTGGCATTTATGTGCATTTATAAATGGAAAAAAATGATGTTCTTCTTTCCGGCGTATCTGCTTTCCGGCGATGTCTGCTTTCTGGCGATGTCTGCTTTCCGCGATGTCTGCTTTCTTGGCGATGTCTGCTTTCCGGCGATGTCTGCTTTCTGGCGATGTCTGCTTTCCGGCAATAGCCTGGAACCTAACCTGCCGTATAAGGTGGCCCTACTGTTTAAGGATTTTGTCTCAAAAATGTAATGGAATTTTAGTGAAAAATATATAAATTTTATTTTTCATTATCTTTGTCAAATCATTATTTTTTTTTTTAACAAGTCAGCCGTCTCCCACCGAGGCAGGGTGACCCAAAAAGAAAGAAAATCCCCAAAAAGAAAATACTTTCGTCATCATTAACACATTCACCTCACTCACACATAATCACTGTATTTGCAGAGGTGCTCAGAACACAACAGTTTAGAAGCAGGCATTGTACTTCCATTTCCAGGACTCAAGTCTAGTTATATAAAAATAACCGGTTTCCCTGAATCCCTTCACTAAATATTACCTTGCTCACACTCCAACAGATCGTCAGGTCCCAAATATCATTCGTCTCCATTCACTACAATCGAACACGTTCATGCACACCTGCTGGAAGTCCAAAGCCCTCGCCCACAAAACCTCCTTTACCCCTTCCTTCCGACCTTTTCGAGGACGACCCCTACCCCGCTTTCCTTCCCCTACAGATTTAAATCATTATTATTAATTATTTTTATTATCAGGGTACTCTCCATTATTCCTTCATCTGTTTCATTTCCATCAGTATGTGAGTCATTCTTTTGTGAAAACATTTCTGTGTTTTGCTGTGATTGGCTGTCACAGTGATGGTGGTGGGGACCCTGTCAGCAGTGACCCCATCAGTGGGGACCCCATCAGCAGGGAGCTGTCAGCAATGTTTTAGCTCTGCCAGGCAACTCTGTGTACACTAGATCTAGCATCACTCCAGTTAGTGTTAAGTTAGATTGTTGTGCTAGGTAGACTGTTATTATTTTGCTAGTTAAACTGTGATTTTTGTACCAGGTAGACTGTGATTATTGTATAAGGTAGACTATGATTATTGTGCTAGGTAGACTGTGATTATTATACCAGGTAGACTGTGATTATTGTGTTAGGTCAACTGTGATTATTATACCAGGTAGACTGTAATTATTGTACCAGGTAGACTGTTATTATAGTGCCCACCTGAAGGCCAGGCAGCAGGTGGTTTTCATTTAAGTCCCCACAGAGAAGGTCCCAGTTTTATGTTGCATTTTTCTTAGGAGAGGAGTGAGCAGTGAAGGTATAACTAGGACAACTGGTGTAAATTATTGCCTAGACAGGTGTTGCTGTCTAGGCAATCCCATTCACTGACAACTGGCATAAATTGTGAGATAAGGAGGATGTGTATGTCTCTGTTGCAGCAGTGACAACCTTGCTTAGTTCAGTAGAGAGTTCCCTTGCTGAGTTGTATCCAACTTTAAGCTGATAGAAAATAGAAGTATGGGTGTGTTTGGGAGCACAGTTAGGTGAGATTAGGTAAGGTTTGTCAGGAAACAGGACCAGTGTTTCCTGACTTGGGTCTTAGTCATATAGTGACCCACAGCTGGAGCTTTTGGTCATCTGACTGAGGCCTTCTACTGGCTTACTGGTCCACCCCTTTAAAAATTATGGGACACAGTGTTGCAGCACCATGGACAGAAGCAACAACAATGACTAAGTTATCTTAAGAAAGCATACAGAAGACGTGATAGGTTCATTAATCACTTATGTATTGTTTGTATCATTATGTATCCTGATGTATTCTGACATATTACCATTACACGGTTTTCAGTCTGTGGTGAGAGTGTCGGCGCCGACAGTGTTCTTGCCGCAGGAGGCACATCTCAAAACTCAAAACGAGGTAGGCCACTTTTGGAGAAAAATTTGGGCTTTTTATAAATAACAATACACAAATAACCCCCACATAGAAGAGAAGAGCTTACGATGACGTTTCGGTCCGACTTGGACCATTTACAAAGTCATACTAACCAGAAGTGGGCTTTTTATATCGTTGATTCTAAATTTTTTTAATTGCTTGATAATTATATTCTGATTTTTAGGGAAAATTATATATTTGATTTGATTAATTTTATTACTATTTTCATCACTATTAGTAATAGTAGTAATATTGGTAGTGGTGGTAGTAGAAGGAGAGATAATTAATATAATCATCTGTGTTCTTCTCAGGGAAGAATGCTCTTTCATCTTCAGGATTCTGATCTGGCTGAACTATTTTCTGAACTTGTGGACTCAGGAGGAAGTCCAACAGTTAGTGGGGATGTTATAGGTTATTGTTACACTCTTGTGGAGAGCCTCAAGACATGGTTACAGGGGCGGCACTGGGATGTTCTGATCCTCTATAACAGTGACCTTCCTGACGACCGTTACAAGATGGCTCATTGCAGTGTTGGTGGTGGAACTGCCTCTTCAAGGGTAGTAGTGTTTGCAGGGCTGGGAGACATCTTTCTGGGAGATGAACAATTTGATTGTCTAGTGTTTGTAAAGGGCAGTAGTGCCTGCTTGACTGCTGTAGCACAGGCTGTCGACCACATAGTAGGGACAAAATGTTTCTACCCTCCAGATCTCTGGCAGTCTTCAGAGTGGCACCTCCGACAGGAATATTCAGCGACTCTAGTATCTATACAAGCTGACGTGTGTGTGGTGGGCCCTAGCGCAGACATTAATGAACTTCTAACTATTGAGTCTGTCCCTTGGTATGTCAAGACACTTAGTGTCTTGTATTTATTATTCCCATGGATCCATAAAATGCTGAATAAGGAGGTAATATTGATTAGACTGTCAGTTTACAGTGCTGTTATGGGGTTCACCAGGCCGACATTACCACCTGTTTCTGAAATGAAAGGATCCAATGACTTCATTATCAGTACAGCTGTGTATGCCTTAGCTCCCTCATGGAGTAGAACTGAGTTGTTAGCTGAGCACATTTACAAAAGGATCTGTGCAGCCTTGTCCCAGTCCGGGACTGTCATCAAACTAGATGAGGTTAAGAGAATACTAGCAGCTATCAACTGGCCAAGAGAAGCTACAAATAGCAGAGTGGATGAAGTGATCGGACAGGTGTTAGCCATCAATAAACAAGGTCATTTGATCTAAAGACTGAAAGGGTAGACTTAATACCAATAGATGAGCTGGAAGTAGAGTTTCACCTTAGCCGCTGGTCTGCAAGCCTCTTGGAACAAATGAGAATGGTGTACATAAATTTCAGGGGAAAAACTGTCAGGTTTGGTGTTGCTGTCAGGGAAGCAGCCAGGACCCACTTGGAAGGTTTAAATGAAGCTTTCACCAGAGAGCTCAGTTCTATTGACCAGATAGCAGATGATGTCAGCAGATACCCATATCTCAGCTGCAGGTATACCATTCCCACACAATACAGAATATCCACATTCCCTCGAATCTGTTATTTAGGTTTACTGTATTTCATGAAGAACCTTGAGACAGAAAAAGAAAAGAAGACTTTTGAGCAGTATAACATCAGCAGAGTCGCTGAGGCCATTACAAGCCAGGGAGACAGAAAGCTAGTTGAGAACCTGGCTCAAGTCTTGCCCACGGAAATTCTGTATTTAACAGCTCAGCTGGTTTGCTATGTGTTCAGAAAAGCAGGGTGACATCATAGCAAGCAGCATGGATGATGCAGAAGTGGAAGCCTTGCTTGACCTCCTGAAGCAGAAGCCACAACCAGGACCCTGGTACCTAGCTAAAATACATGCCAGGAATGTAGCACAAGCAAAATCCACAGAGCTGCTAAAAGTGAGGGCACAGGAGGGAGTTGGCGAGCAGAAGAATGACAGGAGAGCAGGCAACCTGGTGGAGACAACACAGACTATGAGCAAGAGAGTGAACAGAGGTTCACAGAATCACAACACCATGACAACACTAACAAACAAACTCACCAACATGAGAGACGCAGCACCCATGACAGACACTCCTGATGAAAGACTGGTAAGACATGAGATCCTATTGCTAGATCTGTCTGTTACATGGCTCATAATGAGCCTATCCTACCACCATAACAAGTAGCAATAGTACCAGTGGTAGTAGTAGTTAGTAGCACTACTAATAGTAGTAGTAGTGACTGGTTACAGTGACAAACATGCATGCAGTCAAGACTTGACTTGCATTAACTGACCAGTTAATAGAGAACTCCTGGTTACTCAGACCATTTCAGGAAACCCTTTTAAATTTACCTTACAACTAACAACTAGACAGTTGTTTAATTAGTTAACTACAGTGCCATGGTTCATATTCCTTGGCATCGTACATAATTTGTTTCATGATTTATTGCATTTTGAGGATTTCTGTAATAATTTATTATAAGACTGGTAGTGGTGGACATTGACATAGAACATGCTAATGAGAACATAAGTATGAATGTTAATATGATGTGGATCGACATGGTTAATGTTAATAAAGCAAACTTAATATAATTAATATAAGCAGGGTTCAAATCAGATCAAGAAAGTGTTTTTGGATCTATCTTCTTGAAGCTGATGACTAGAGACAAACATTTTACACAGTACACAAATAACCGCACATAGGAGAAAGAAACTTACGAAGATGTTTCTGTCCAACTTGAATGATTAACTAGTCACACTAACACATGAAGATAAGGGAGCCAGTATATATATATATATATATATATATATATATATATATATATATATATAATTATTATATATATTTATATATAATATATATTATATATTATATATATATTAATATATAATATATATATATATATATATATATATATATATATAATTTATATATTTAAAAGGGGGTTTTTGTGGGCGAGGGGCTTAGACTTCAGCAAGCGTGCATGAGCGTGTTAGATAGGAGTGAATGGAGACGAATGATGCTTGGGACATGACGATATGGTGGGAGTGTGAGCAGGGTTAATATTTCAGTGAAGGATTCAGGGAAACCGGTTATTTTCTTATAGAAATCGGACTTGAGCCCTGGAAATGGGAAGTACAATGCCTCCACATTTAAGGTAGGGGTTGGGTTAATGGCAGGTTTGGAAGGGATATATTGTGTATCTTTATAGTATTGCTTCTAAACTGGTTGTATTCTGAGCCACCTCTGCAAAAACAGTGATATGTTGTGCGTGTGGTGAAAGTGTTGAATGATGATGATAAAGTTTTTTATTTTTTGGGGATTTTCTTTCTTTTTTGGGTTTCACCCTGCTCGGTGGGAGGATGCCAACTTGTTAACAAAAAATCCTATATATAATATATATATATATTTTTTATATTTTTATATATATTATATTATTTATATATATATATATTATATATTTTACCTCATTTATATATATATTATAATATCTATTTATTATATATATTATATATATAGTTTTATATAATTATATTATATTTATATATATATATATTTATATATATACACACACACAGCACCTACATCCACTTTTGACCAAGACTTGTTCGAACCAACCCTGTCGTAAGTCATAATGACGTAAGTCGAACCTTTGAAAATTGCCGACATACTGGGTAGGGCATATTGTCAAACTTTTCCTTTATACCACCTACATAGAAGATTCTGTAATCGTAATGTACAATCATATTCATTTTTTACCGTAATTACTTCTATTGGTGCTATTTTAATTATTTATTTACTGTATATTAATGTATACATGGTAGTGAACTTGTATTGTAAATTTTACATCAACTACAGTCATCATATGGATGTACTGTTATCTATATGTATTGTCGACACAGCCCTACAGGGAAGCGGCATACCACTGGTACTAAGTGTCATCTGCCAGAATGTAGTATATCCTATTACCTTAGTAAAGAGAAACAACTCTGGAAGATGTGTAATACATAGATGGCTGGCTGGCACCGGGTGGGTGTGGAGCCGGTCGTGGAACACCCCCGTTGAATTGGCTTGACTGAATGTGGCTCTCTCTCTCTCTCTCTCTCTCTCTCTACTCTCTCTCTCTCTCTCTCTCTCTCTCTTCTCTCTCTCTCTTTTTCTCTCTCTCTCTCATCTTTTATCCTCTCTCTCACTCTCTTTCTCTCTCTTTCTCTTCTCTCTCTATCCTCTTTCTCTCTCTTCTTTTCTATCATCTCTTACTCTCTATTATCTATCTTTCTCTCTCTCTCTCTCTCCTTTCTCTCTCTCTTTCTCACTCTCTTCTCTCTCTTCTCTCTCTCTCTCTCTCTCTCTCTCTCTCATTCTCTCTCTCTCTTCTCATCTCTCTCCTCTCTCTCTCTCTCTCTCTCTCTCTCTCTCAGGTACTCGTAAGTAAATGTTTAATACATAGTATAAATTATCTAGGAAAAACCAAATAATCCCACAACTTGCTTTACAGTGGATTTGTGCTCCAGTGCCCTAATTAATAATAATAATTATTTTATTACAATTTTCATATGTACTAATATTAATAATATTATTATTATTAAACAATAATAATCGTGTCACTCATTTACTTACCTTAAAAAATTGTACACTAGTCTTACATGTAGATTGAGAGGTGTGTAAATAGAGATTAAATGAATAAACGAATGAGGGGGGGTGTGTAGAAGGGTTGGCAAGTTATGTATAAAAGACAAACGTTGTTGTCGTTGTTGTTGTTACAGCACGGACACGAATGATTACCGTTCACTCTGTTAATCGACCAGAAAAACATCTTAATTTGTTAATTTATATGTTTTATGTCTATGCTAGATGTTTTATTATATAATTTTGAAAATAGAATTCATAGATGGATTAAGGCACAAATGTCTATATTAACGTTTTATACACATTTAATGCCGGGGGCCTCAGTGTATTATTATTGTGTTATTATCATTATTAATATGCATCTTCACATGGACCAATTACACTTCTTAATGAGTGGATCTCTGACGACAGACAAGCAGACAGAAAGACAGACACAGGTAGACAGAAAGACACTCAGGTAGACAGAAAGACACACAGGTAGACAGACAGACACACAGGTAGACAGACACACAGGTAGACAGACACACACAGGTAGACAGACAGACACACAGGTAGAGACAGACCACACACAGGTAGACAGACACACACAGGTAGACAGACAGACACACAGGTAGACAGACAGACACACAGGTAGACAGACACACAGGTAGACAGACACACACAGGTAGACAGACACACAGGTAGACAGACACACAGGTAGACAGACACACAGGTAGACAGACACACAGGTAGTCAGACACACACAGGTAGACAGACACACACACAGGTAGACAGACACACACAGTAGACAGACAGACACACAGGTAGACAGACAGACACACAGGTAGACAGACACACAGGTAGACAGACACACACAGGTAGACAGACAGACACACAGGTAGACAGACACACACACAGGTAGACAGACACACACAGGTAGACAGACAGACACACAGGTAGACAGACAGGACACACAGGTAGACAGACACACAGGTAGACAGAAACACACAGGTAGACAGACAGACACACAGGTAGACAGACACACACAGGTAGACAGACAGACACACAGGTAGACAGACAGACACACAGGTAGACAGAACAGACACACAGGTAGACAGACACAACAGGTAGACAGACAGACACACAGGTAGACAGAAAGACACTCAGGTAGACAGAAAGACACACAGGTAGACAGACAGACACACAGGAAAGACAGACAGACACACAGGTAGACAGACAGACACACAGGTAGACAGACACACACAGGTAGACAGACAGACACACAGGTAGACAGAAAGACACACACAGGTAGACATAAAGACACACAAGTAGACAGACACAAAGGTAGACAGAAAGACACACACAGCTAGGCAAAGACACACAGGTAGACATGAAGACAGACACACAGGTAGATAGAAAGACAGACACACAGGTAGACATAGACACAGATAGACAGAAAGACAGACACACAGGTAGACAGATAAACAGACACAGAGATACACAGATATATAGGCAGACAGATACAGACAGGTTTATGTGTAACAGTGAAAACAAATAGAGAGTTCGAGAGTAAGAGCCTTTCTTGCCACAATCTCCAGTGCAAGATTCAGACTTCATCTTAGGGACCATGGTGAAATTTACTGTCCAGTTAA